TAGCCTCTTTAAAATCTTCTTTGGATGCAAATATTATACCTATTTTCCATTTGTAATCAGTCATTTTTTATGGCAACTTAGACAATTTAAAGTTATTTCTATCTTGCTCCTCATCAAAATCTACATCAGTCTCCAATCACTCAGTGTTATAATCCTCATCAACATCAAAACCCTCATTACTCGCAGCAAATGGCATTGGATTGGCAGAAGTAGAACCAACCTCAAATTGAGATTCAACTTTAAAGTCTTCATCAGAACTAAAATTAATATGAAACTCAACATATGAAGTTACTACCTTCCTTTTTTTTCTCACTTATTCTTGTTGTTTTGCTTGTTTTCTTCTCACTTATTTTTGTTCTTTTGCTTGTTTTATTCTCATTTGATCTTATTGTTTTGTTCCTTGTATTGTCACTTATTTTTTATGTTTTGAGAGACATTTTCTCTACTTTTTTTTCCTTTTTCTGACTCAATTTTTTTCCTTTTTGCATAAGATTTTTTCTCTGATTCACAACCATTAACTTTCTTTGGTTGGTCCTGATCTTCTTGTTCCATATGAACCTCTTTCTCTTCCACGTGTCTCTCTTCTTTTTCCATTTGAACCTCTTCTTGTTCCACTTTAATCATGTTATTCATTTTAAAATTTTCTTCTACTACTTGTTCTCTACCACCCATCTTACCAACTTGAACCCCATCAATATTCACGGTATATTCAAGTAATAGAACATTCATACATATCTTAGCTTGTGAAATTGCATGTACTACATCTAACTACACTTTTTTCATAACACTTCGACACTGTGGTCATCTCCATAGCTCCTTTATCATCTTTTAGTTCCTTCAATCCTACATCAAAACCTTTTCCACTAATCTTGTACCACATACTATCAACTACATCATATCCTAATTCACGTACCCCATCCAAACACTCAAAATAACTCCAAAAATATTTTTCACATTCCCAAATACTTGTCTGACCTCCAATATACTTAGTCTTTTGTGACTTTTCAAACTCCCTACCATGGTGAACTTCTACGCAGAATTTATTCATCTCCCATGACCTGAAAAAGGTAATATCAAAACCTAAATTTCAAAAAGATGAAATCTTTCAAATGTTCAACAATGTCCTAACTCGTATAACCTCACAAAACACAAACAAAATAATATACCCAACACATGTACAAAATATATTTCAAAAATAAAAACACACCTTATAACCTTGATGTTCAATTCCACTTCAAAATTTCTACTTTTTTCCAATAACAAAGGCTAATGACCCTTGATAGCTTTTCAACCTTGAGTGCATAGAGTTAACACTTTGAAAAAGAAAATTCATGAAGATCAAGTGAGTAGCAACTCTAACTGTTGAAAATGAATACTCCAGCAACAGAAATCTTGAAGAGTCTTGCGCGTGTTTACTCTCACTGCTAAGAGTAGCCACGCCCAAGGCTAATTTACTCAGACACTTTGCACGTGTACACTCTAATCACTGAAAGTAGCTACACACAGATTCGCGTGTTCACTCTAGCTACTAAGTGTAGCTACACGCAAGGTTTGTCTGCACAGAACACATGCGCGTGGACACTCTTACTCTTGAAAGTGTCCACGCAAAATAACATAATTTTGAAAATCACTTTTAGATGTCAATTTTGGACGATTTGAGTTATTACCTCAGCTATAGAAGCTTCTAGAAGACCTTTCATGTTATAATTCTCAGAGATTAAAGTGTGAAAGTGAAAAAGGAAGGAAAAACATTATAAATAGAAGTTAAGAGTTCAAATTTGGGGACTTTTGATTCATTTTGTCATTTTTCACTTTTGTAACTGTTTTAACTTCCAAGGGAAGTCAAAGAAGGAGATTAGGAGCGATTTTCAAGCTTCATTGTTAGAGAAATCAGGGTAAAGATTGGGTCTTGAAAGATGTTCTTATGCTCCTTGTCTTCTTCTTCTCTTGCTTTTCTTTCTTCCATTGTAATGTTGTTCTAAACCTTTTTTGTTAGGAATCTATAGATCCAGATTTGATATTATGATGTAATTTTGGATCTGGACCTTGAGATTTTAATAAAATTGAGTATGTGAGTTTGTGCTTGATGCAATTGTGAACTAATCCTTCATTCAATTAAACTTAGAGGAATCTTCATCAATGAAAATTAAGTTTATTTTTCATATTTGAATCATATGCCTAGGTTATTGAGATCTTAGGAATAAGTATCATAATCTAGTAATCCTATAATTTCTAGAACTTAATGCAGTATTTAATTGAATTTCACCTCAGGAATTAAGAAATTTTAATTAAATATTAGGATCAATGAGGCAAGAAATTATCCTTTGGTTAAAGAAGTGAAATTGATTATCAATCAATTAAAATTCTTAACAGTGTAGAATATGATTACATTGAAATTGAAAATCTAGTGAAGTGATTCCTAACTATTTTCCACATAGCATTTTCAATATAAAATTCGTATTGTATTTTACAGCATTTTATTACCTTTTATTGTTCTTATTTCTCATTTTTTTACATGTTACAAATCTTTCAAATGAATTATGTGGTTTAACTTATTGTCAATTTGTGAAGTGGTAATTGAAAATAAGATCTTTGTGGACGATATTTGAGACTCATATTGATTTTCAAAGTTTTATTATTTGCTACAACAACCTAGTATATTTGCTAGTTAGTAATTTTACACAAAGAATATTGTTGTATTCTGATTGCGCAATAGATGCTTCTATTACGTTCTCTAACAGTTGTCACAGAAAAGACTAACGTGGAAAAAAATGAAATTTAGAGGACTAAAATAAATTTTACTCTAGAGTTAAGGAATGAAAAGTATAGTTTTACCTTTATTTTATTTGTAAAAAAAATTAACAATTTTGTTCTCTTTTGACATTTACAAGTGCCGGTGGGATATATAAGTGAAAGTCCATTTTCTTCAGTATTAGAAGTTAGCATAAAATGGAAATTTCATATATTTTTTAATAATTTAATTGAGTATTTATATATTTTTTTTCGTAATTATATGTAAAAATAATTAAAATTGTAATATTTAAATTATTTTTTTGTTAAAAAGTAGATTTAGAATTTAATTAACTGTTGTTATATATAATCTGAAAGTTTAGCATTAAATTAAAAAATTTGTTAGCATATTTATTTTTAAGTGTAACAACAATTAAAAAACAGTAATTTTTTGTAAAATTTAGCTTAATGTCAGTAAAAATAGATGAAATTTGTTTTATAATGGTTAATAAAATTACAGTATAATAATACGATAGTTGCAGTAGATAAAAAATGGATAGTTAGTTAAATTAAAAAAATGCATAATTGCATAATAAAACATGAAATATTGATTAAAATTTATAACAAACCTTCTTATTGTTAAGATTAATTAGGAGCGTGAATTAAAGGCATAAAAAATATAATAAAAAAACTTCAAAATATAGAATAATTTTGAGTAAATTGAAGCAAAATTTTACGTAAACAAATTTTAAAAATAGTAAACAATAATTTCAAATTTATAACCAATAAATTAGAAATTATAGAATTTTAAATGATAAAAATTATAATTAACTTCATTCTTAATTTTATATGAAGAGAGAATTTAAATTATAATTAAAATGAAATATATGTAGTTCAATTGAAATAATAAGATTGTAATATAGTTAAAAATAATAATTACTTAAATAATTTATCACAAGATAGATAAAAATAGAAATTATTAAAAACATATTGATATTACGTTAAATCAATTTTTAGAATACAAATGTCCATTAAATTTTATTAAAAATTAATAACCTTATATGCCAAATCGAATTTATATAGTTTATAAATTTTTAAATCATATTATTTTTTACAACATTTTCAATTATAAAAAAATTATTATCTTTATTAAATTATTTTACATCATTTTTACATTTGTTACCATAATTTTGTAATTTTTCAATTACATCTATAAATTTTTAATTATTTATACGTACTAAGTTACTATAATCAGACGTAAATAAAATCTTGACATTGTTTATATATTGTTTTCTTTTTTAATAAAATTTCCATCACACTAATACTATTTTATCTAACTGCTAACTAAAAAAAATTCATTTTCATATAATAATCAATATAAAATTTTACATTTTTTAAACAAAAAAATTAAAACTCATAATAAAAAAATTAAAAACCACAAAACTATAAATTTAACTAACTTTAATATCACTCTCCACAAATTTCTTTCTTAATGTAAAGATTCATATACATTTGCGAAATATTTATATATATAGTGCTGCAAAATTGGATAAGAGAGTGCATCTGAATATATTAATTGACAGATAATGACACGTGTTAGTGAGGCAATTGTATCGCTTTGACAACCGATAATCGTGCTACAATTTGACCAACAATATGACTATTGTTCTTGACCCGCTGATATACTTCTGCGGTCGATACGTGTCATCATATAAATCGTCCATCATCTAACGCTTTTATTTTGTCGATACAGAGTTTATAAATAATGAGCAAGGAATATTCATCTTTCTGCTAAACAGGATGTGTTGAACTCATAATGCATTGATACTTTCGAGATAAAAAAAAAAGTGAGATTGTGATAAAATAATAAATTTCTCTATATCTAATATATATATATATATATAAAAGTAAAGGAAAAAATAATATTTATTTAATGAAGAGACAATTATTAAACTCGTTAGAAGGGAAAAGATTGAATAGTTTAATTTATCACAAATTACTCTTACTGAAGCATAATAATAATATATTTATTCATGAATTTTAATTATATAAATTTAATAAATAATATCATAATTAGTATTAATAATTTAAACATATATTTTAAATAATTAATTAATGCTAATACACACTTCAATAGAATATTAATATTAATATAACATGTATTAGATACCACAGATTATCATTGAAATCATAGACGAAATATGTTTTTTCTAATGGTTTCAAACCCAAATAGTTGCAAACCCAACTTAAATTTTATTGTGTAGCTGTGATCAGCACACAAAAGTAGCGTTAACGTTGTGGTCACTGCAATAGAGTCCAGGTTTCTGATTGAAACCCTGCTTCCTAAGTATCTTCCTAGCCTTCAGAACAAGCTCCCGATTTGTTACTGCACCATTTGTCTCCTCAATTATAGTTTGTATGACATTGCTGAAAGCTCCATAAGCTCTATCGGAGTTTCCATATGGACTTGCATCTGCAGAAGTTTGGTCCGTTTGGCAACCGCTCAAGAGAATTCCACAATCTAAAAGATTGCGCTTAATTGATCCAGCATATTCCTCTCGCCTACTTCCAACATGTGTTTCTTCATCATCTTCGTCTAGCTTTTGTTCCAAAAAATGTTGGGCTAGATTACCCACCTGCCCTAAAATTCTGCTATGCCCTCCATTCTCACCACTTCCATGTTGGAGTTTGTTTAGGACTAACTTCATCAAATTCTTCACTTTAGGGCTAGCATCTTCCCCAAAGATATTAGAAAGTGCATGTCTTGGTTTACCAATATCTATATCATCTTTCCCAGTTTTCTGCTTTAGTATATGAGTAACCGTTGAAATAGGCAAAGACCGATTCTTCACATAAGCGTAGGCCCCATGAGGAAGCTCGACACGTCTTTCTTCAACTTCTTTGTAGCTGGGGTCGCCCATTTCTGTTGGAATATCGATACCACGGGACTCACTGGTGTCTTCCACATTTCTAAGAAGAAAGTTTATGGATTCAAATACAGAGCCTGAATTTAGGCCTCCTTCCTTTGAGCTGTCTCCTATTTGCTCCTTAGCGGCTTCAATTAGACCCCCACTGTGACAAGAATCTGATACGATTGTGATCTTACAACCCCTTGGAACCTTGTCTACATATTGCCTGAATTCATCATCTGTTCCAATACAGTTAGCATTGCTTCCCAAATAATCATGCAATGATAAATCATTTGCCTAGAATATATCGGATAAATTACATTATATTTTCTTGTACTTTTGTTCTTTTTCAATTTAGTGAGAGAGAGAGGCTGAGAATGTATCCAATGAGAGGAGCATTTTGGAATTATTCCAAAGTGAAAAACATAAATCTGAAACATAATTATACACATTTGATTATAATTATAAGATTTAAGAAATTACATGATCATCACTTAAAAAAATTACGTGATTTTAAAAATGTTACTTGTATATTTTAGTCATAAGTCAGACTTTCTAATGTTATTTATGTACCATCTTATCCCCATAAGCTAGTTTATTGACAGAAAAAAGTATTAGGGATAAATTGAGAAACATAATTGTAGATATTGGATTGTATGAATAAACAATCCAAAGATAGGATCACAAAAAAATGTAATAATAATTTAATTTTTGTTCGAAATCGAATACATTGCATCATGATTTTCTGCTTATCTTTTAATCTTCTAATAAGATTAAAGATACGAGGGGGGGAAATCACAGTTAAACTAAACAGACACCAAATTGGACCCAGCCTTCAAACAAGCTAAGTTAAACAGAACCCTTGTACTTTAACCTTTTTGTTTTTTTGGGCTTGCCCATCAAATTCATACATACAGAAGTATTCTCTACTGCGTAGCTTCCAGATCAACTTATGAGTAGTCTTATCTCAAAAGAGAAAGATAAATGAAAAAACAAAAGAAAATAAAAGAATGATGGAATGAATAACCATTAAAAAAAATAGACAAATCCCAGCCATAAAATACAGTACGTGGTTTCAAAGCAAAACCCAATTCCAACTATAGATTATGTGCTATTTATCCGGAGTTCATAGTGGTAAAAAGAAATTCAAAAAAGAAAGAAAAATATGTCAATCCATATGAATGTTCCAATTCAGCAAAGTTTTAAAATTTGTAATTAGAATACTTAATACAACTTTTCTCTTCTCCGAGTTCTTTTATATATTTTTACACGCTCACTTTTTCTTACATTTTCCTTTTTATTTTTTTATCACGTTATTAATTATTTTTTTTAATAATTTTCTATCTCTTTCTTTTTCTTCATCAATTTACAGAGTTAACCTACCAGTGATGAGATTCATATCAGTGGGAACAATGCACTCATCATAACCGGTGTTGTCCTCCTCGTCGGCGTCGGCGGGGAGGCGCGTGCCGTGGCCGCTGTAGTGGACAAAGAGGACGTGTCCAGGCTTAGCGGAGCGAACGAGGCTTGAGAGTGCGAATCTTATGTTCCTGCCAGTGGGTTGGGTGTATGAATGTTGAGTATCAATGAGAACTGTGATGTCTTTTTCTGAGAAGCCATATATGTTTGTGAGGCATTTGTGCGTTCTCCACACGTCGTTAATGCAGCCTTTCAGCTCAGCCTTTGTTCCTGGATAGTTGCATCCTATTAACACTGCCCTCTTAGCCATATTTCCATTCACCACCACTCTCTCTCATCACCCTTTGCCTTCAAAGTCTTATATCTAACACTTTAGAGGGGAACAAGAAAATGCAGTTTAATGATTAAACATTGATATTTCATGATTCATTTTTCTTATAATATTTTATTATAAAAGGAATTTCATTTAAAGGTTTGGATTATATATAATCTTTTAAACTTATTTCTTTCCTAATGTATATAGAAATATTAAATTTAGAACTATCATTTATACATAGATGATAAAAGTTAAAAGAATATTAATGATTATATAATTTTTTTTTTCTTTTTATTCTCGGAATAACTAAGTTTCCATATGATAGACTCTTATCAATATTATTTTGTTTGATAATTTTTTATAAACATTAAATTTTATCAATCTATACTATTAAATTAAAAGATTTTATAAAGAGATTAAGCCTACAAGAATTCATACAAATAAAATAAAATATTAATTGACATTTTATTAAATAATTTTATTTTAATGTATAAGATTAATAGGATTACTTTTAGAGTAATTTAATCCAAGTTAAGATTCATAAATAAATAATAGATGTCAAATTTAAATATTATTAATAATTTTTTTTTTGCTGGAAATAATTTTTTATATAATACAAGATTCATTAATTTAACTATTGGTTTAAAATATTTTTTTTAAGATAATAAGTTTATACAAAAAAAAATTAATGGATATTTTATTACATTACTTAATTTTAGCGTATAATATATTATTTTAATATAAATAAATAGAACTGTAAAATAATATATTTATAAATAGTTAAATTATAAAATTTAATATGTATAAATATAAAAAAATATTATATGATTAAATTGTTAGATTGAAAAATTTTGCATTATAACATAAAATTTCTATAATGAATAAAAAATATGTTTCAGTACGAGTATAAAAAATCTTTTGAGATGAATGCATCCGACAATCATGTTAGTGTTTGCTGATTCGTACACATAGGTAAGAATAAATATAATTAATTAATTAAAATATTCAATAAACAAAATTAGTATTTCAGTTCGATAACTTTATTTTTTACTTTAGTTTAATTTTATAATTTTTAAATTTTATTTATCTTTTATTTATTTATTTAGCTTTTATTTTGTCATATTTGTCAACTACGTGGGTAAGAATCACCATAATTAATTTTAAAAAATACAGTTTGCAGCAATAAAAAATTGCCACAATCGACAAATAGAACAAAAATTGAAATAAAACAAAAAGATAAAAAAATAAATAAAAAAAAAACTAAAGTAGCAGAGTATTAATTTTACATATAGTTTTTTCTTAATGTATGTTTAAATACACATATTCAAATTTTAAAAATATTTTTTGAAAAATTATTATATTATAAAAAATATTAAATATTTTTTTAATGATAATTTAAAATATATAATTAAATATATCTAATACTATTTAACATGAACCCTTCAGCACACAATAAGAAAATAATTTTACCTATTATCTATAATGAAAGAAATTTATAGACTACAACTCATACAACTATACTCGCTCCTTATTCTCTATTTGGATGAGAAATAAAAAAAAATTACTCTTAATGTAATAAATCTAACTTATAATTTTATAATTTTAAATCAATAGCAGAAAGTATACAAGAACGTATGTTGCTAACACTTTTCAAAAAAAAAATAGAAGGTAATTAATAAAAAATGTATTGTTTGAATGAAAAAAAATAAGTGAAGAATTTTTTCTCAACTTGTTTATATAAATGTAAGAGGGTAAAAAATATAAAGTAAAATAATATTTTATTAATGAAAATTTTAATTAAACTTAAAAAATTGATATTTTTTACATGTTATGTAAATTTATTATTAATATTTTTTATTTTTTAGGTTATATAAATCAGTTTATTTTTATGAATAATTAAAATAGAAAGGAACAAAAAAAGTTTCCCACCCTCCCCATTTCACATCAATCACCATTGGCAAAGAATTTGTTTTGTGAGTTATCACCTTTTTTTCTTTCTAATTTTTATGATTTTATCCATCCAAAATAATAGTAAAAAATTGTATATCCTTCATATTTCTTTCTTTTTTACATTTTTCCTTTTCATTTCATGCAATCCAAACATACTGTTAGCTTGTATTAACTATTTAAAAAATTTCACACAATCATTTCTAAATGAGTAATTCATTTTTTAAAAAAATTTACAATTTTTGTGTGTTAAAATTTGCTGTTTGAATAACTAATTTTAAAGAATTTAAAATTCTAAAAATTTTAATGAACTTTTTTAATAGATTGAAATAGAAAAATTAAATCATAATTAAAAAAGTGAGAATTTAGAATTATTTTTTATTATGTGTTTCATTCATATTTTTATTTAATTATAATTAATTTAATAATTTAAATTTCATATTTTTAATTAATTTTATCAAATTTAGTGATAATTTTATTGTTTTTAAAAATATAAGTAATTGAATTACTCTATCTAAACAAAAATGAAGGAAATTCAATTACTCTATCCAACAAAATATTTTAAAATAATATAAACTAAAAAAACGATATAAATAACGTATATAAAATTTTAGATGACCACGTTATATGAAATTTTGTGTACATGAAGTGATTGACACTACATTTTTCACATCACATTACCATATAAATAAAATAAAATAAAAAAATCTTCTCAACATATTACATACCACACGTTTAAATTTAACTTATTACTACCTGAACATGCATATTACAAACCATAAACCATCTATGAGCCAATACTGATTATAAAATAATATTCATCGTGACAATTTGGCTTCTTTGAAACTTTTAATGTAATTAGGAGAAATTCAAATTTTCCTCCTAGTTAATATCCTTACTTTTTAGGTATAAACGATTTTTCATGTTACTAACACTTTCGACGATCATTTGGATAAATTCATATTCATACCTGCAAAAGTACAAGACATAATTAAATCATTTATAAGCACAACTTTTATTTTTCTTTTTATTAGTCGTAATTGATTTCTATTTATCATTTTATGAACCATAAAAAAAGTAATTAACAATTTTTTAGTTTAAATTTCTTAACCAGTACCTTAAGAGTCACATTAACTAAAATGACTCTAGCTTATTATTAACAAGTACTATTATACTGACATGATCATTAGGGAACTAATTAATTAAACTAGAAGTGTATGAAAGTATGCGATATACTCTGTAGTATAATGCATTCCAGACAAGTTGGAAGCTTCAGATAAAGCTGATCTCCATCTCTTCACCCTTTCAGAATCATTTTCAAATGCCTTTTCATGTTTAGCCATTGCTTCACCATAAATATTTTTCTGATGCCTCACATCGGAAGGTACTACTTTGTAAAAGATTGGCAAAACTTCTTGGTGCTTTTTCTTCATACACTCTAGGATAGTAACAAGTTCATCAAGGCACCAAGAGGAGTATGCATAGTTTTTAGAGAAAACAATAATTGAAAGTCTTGATGCTTTAATAAGTGATCGTGAAATTTGATTTCCACCCTCTAATCCATCCTTATCCATGAAGGTCTTGAATCCCTCTCGCACAAAGCTTGATAAAGAAAACCTATTAAAGAGAGGCGAGTATCTTTTCCTCTAAAACTAAGAAAAACATGGTAACGAGCCTTTGAATGTTTCAAACAATGGAGTGACGCTTCCCACTCCTTAATAGGTTTACATTTTAAGGAAGATCCCACATCCTTAATTGTACTAGGTAACCCTTTACATTCCAAAGCAACTTTCCTTGCAACATCTAACAAATTGGATGAGGAATCATCATGTATGCCTGAGAATTTTTTGAGCAATGTCCAAGCTTCCTCATCAATTAAGGGTTGCAAAGAAATTTAATCTTTGACAATTCATCAAAGTACATTCTTGTTGGCGACGCGTGGTCAAAAGAACCTTACACCGATTACCATTACAAGGAATACCTATACCATCTAACTCAAGGTATTCCCTAACATCATCCAAGATCACAAGAATTGAATCCTTACTTTCTAATTTCAAATATATTTTTATTGCTCTTGCACCTTCAGTATTTTTGTCAAGTTTCAAATTCATCGAGTCTACAATTTGGTCTTGAATTGACACATTTGGATTTTCAGACACAGTGGCAAATAAAATTGCATCAAAGATCTTTAAATACTTGGCTTTCTCACCCACTGCTTTTACTAATTCTGTTTTACCAGAGCCTTTATCACCATACAATTCAATTATATGGTTTCTCTTGTCACTTAGTGCCTCCAAAAGCTGATCTGAAGCTACTTTTGTAGAATTCAAACACACAAAATTTGTAGAAGAAGAGTATTCTATAGTTGGAATTGGGATGGAAAAAGGTTCAAATTTACATTTGGAATTTTGTGTCTTTATTTTATATAGCATTTTATCATACAGCTCAAATTTTCTCTCAGGATTATCCCATATCTCAACCTTTTTTATGAGCTTGTGCGCATCATTTAACCACTCGGAAACAACATCATTGACCTTTTCTGTTTTAGTAGCTGCTTCAGCTATTCTCCACATGACATTTTGAATATTTAAAATCAGATTATCCTTTTCATCCTTCATCTGTCGATACATTCTTTCTCTACGTCTAAGATTAAGAACGGCGTCTTCCATTTAAACAAAGATAAGCTGGAAAATAATCAATACAGATTGTTGAGTTGATTGGTATGCATGATAAGACATAGTATATGTTTGATGACAATTACTTTGGACCAAAGAAAAAGTTTTATCATATATACTGCATGAAAATATTTTAGGATCTTGCTTGAGGGTTAGAGCTATTTAATTTATTCTATCATACTTAATGCAATATGGCAAATTAATTTAATAAACATTAAACGTATAATGAAATTTAAAAAAAAAAAAGGTGAAATGAATAAAAAGTGATAATTTTGGCATGGAGCGCCAATTTATGTGATCCATGTTGGACCGCCGAAATCTATAGTTAATCGATAGCAAGTATAGTATTAGTGTCTATAAGAGAAAAGTACTTGACGAGAAAACATAAAAATAAAATTAAAGAAGAGTGAACGGAAATTTAACTCACTCCAAGATGTTGCAAGGACAGACGCTTGAGATCCCTCTACCTTTTCTGGGAAGGCTTGCACCTAGAATTGGATCAAAGATAGCAGAACTATTGACTTTGGTTAGTGCTTAATTATACCAAAATGACAGAAAGAATATATGTGGAAAATGGGCTATAGACTAGTTTATTGGTGCCTAATACACGCTTTTGGGTAAAAATATACATATATATATGATTAACATTAATAAATAATATTGAAGGAATTAGGGCATGAAAACATCCTATTCTTTCAATTGTTGATAGGAAGCATCCTTTGATGCGGACTTAATCCAATCTAACCAACACTAAAAATACAAAAAATGAATAAGTCAAAAGCCGTTGACAATTACAAAAAGCCATTAGTACTAAATTAAATTAAACTTAGTGATGATCTTGAGGCTGTTGATAAACTTACTAACATGCTCGTCAAGAAATTTTATCGACAACATAGTAAGGTGACGACAGTACCGATAGTAGGTTTGGCAAATTGTTGAGTTACATAGGCTAGCGACCAAGTCAGTATTTTTATAGTATTAGGTAGTGGCATGAGCTAGTTCCATTTTTTCTTATATACATATATATATTACTAAACATCTTTCATTGAAAGTGTCACCTAATATTTTTTAATTTAATAATTATATATTATATTTTCAGTTATTTTATTTATACGTTTTTTAACCTTTTATATTTTTAATTATTAAATGAATAATTTAATATTATTAATAGTACAATATAAATAATTAATAATATAAACATAAAAAGATTAAATAGATCATAAACCCATATATTGTACGGTTTACAAAATATAGTTATATTTGATTTATCAATATGTTTAGCGTATAAATTAATAAGGAGAAAAAGTAATTTCTCACAACACAGCATATAGATACACTCTCCCAACATTTATCACATGAATCTGTCACCAAAGACACACGAACCATGGCTATAATATTTTATTGATATCCCAAATGTAAAATTGGAACAATGAATTAAACCACAAATTGAGTAGGACACCTTAATTGACATAATTGCAATTAACTCTGATTTCACCCTCATTAGGCCTAGTCAAAACTTGAACATTCCCAAGCTTAACCATTGACACTGCAAACTGGCTTGTGAAAAGAAAAGGTTGGGTAGCAAATGCTTCAACAAAAGGGGCTGTCCTTGCATCTGAAAATAGTGATTGGTCTGTTGATAACAACCCAACCTTCCTCTTAAGGTTTGTGTAATATGTTGTGTCAAAACTCCTTGGTGTTATGACATCAAGGTACACCAAATCCAACACCCCTTTACATCTTTTCCTCAACAACCTCAAGTAATAGACATTGAGTGATGGATCAGGCTTTCCAGTGCCATTAAAATTGTTTATTCTATCCATAAAAGAATAACAAGTAGTCCTCCCAATTGTGTGTGATCCTGAGAGAGTAACCAAATCAAGCATGTCTAACCCTCTTTCTTGAAAAAATGAAATCAAAGATGTGATGTTTTCATGACCATGAGGAACCAAATTAGCTTCTTTGGCTAAGGAAATTCTCCCATCTTTTCGGCCAAATGGGACTTCCCAGAATGGTCCTCCAGCTATAAGAGTGGCATCTCTTGCAGCAGCAGTGAGAATGTCAGCACATGAGACTGTTCTTGGACACCTTCTCTCTAACTCACCCTTTATGTCATCAATCATTTGGAAGCCTCTCAGGGTTCTGCTCTCAAAGGCTGTCCTCTCACTCCCTGAATGGTTAAGCAAAATTGATCCATCGCATCCCTGCATTTAATGTTATCAATTGAATGGCATCAAACTAAGTCATTCATGTCAAGTCCACTCTTCTAATTGAAATGTTAAAATATTAAGGTCTAAGTTGGATGAATTTTTTAGTAAGTACTTCTAAGATAAGAGAATAAGTAAAATAACTAAATCAATTTTTTTGAAGCTAAAATCAACTTATATACTTCAATTTGTTAATTTGAAGTTTATCCATCTAACTTATCCAAAGGTTATGTGCTTAAATTGATTTTAATCTTTGAAAATAGTTTATTTTATTTTAATTTTTAATTTTTCCTACGTATATTGATTGAGAAGTTTATTTAAATTAAGTTTAAATCATAATAAGCTTAAATCATAATCAAGGAGTTAATAAACTTAGTAGATACATTACTATGATCTTTTAAATTAAATTTTATGGTATAATTGGAATGTCTCAATTCCTTGTAAAAATTATTTCAGATTCTGGATTTTAACCGTGTTTGGCTACAATAGTCAAAATTACCAAACTTAAATATGTACATTTATCACCAAACAAACCCCAAAAATCTGTGTTTTTTAAATGATGCATCATTATGTATCAAATGGCTCGTAGAAAGTTAAAGTGATATGCATGTATCAAGATGCTTATATGTAGCCATTTTTCAGTGTACTGTGTTTTAAGTAGGGAAGAAATGATAGTAAAGAAAACACATTGCCAAAATTAAAGAGAGACTGAGTTATGTGATTACTCTTATGGCACAATCATGGAAATGTAGACGGATGATGGAAGGAGCCAAGGTGGGGTCCTTCTTAACCCAAGCAGCAAGCTTTTGTGAGATAATGCCTTCAGCATCTGGGCAAGTTGTTTGATAGTGACCAGTAGACAACAAGGCTTCAGGGGGTAAGGATTTTAATGAATTTTTTACCACATTTCCTTGTGCTGAGAGATCATAAATGGTGATAAGCTCCAGAGTGACCAAAAGAATGAAAAGGGAAAGGAACTGGAGCCTCATGTTTGGTTGAGTTGGTATGAATGTTTGATGAATTATGAGGGTGTCATGCACAATATTTAAGGTAGGGGTTGATAAAAACGTGGTAGGCACTCCCTTGGCTTTAAGGTTGACATGCCAACTCGTTGATATGGCCCTTGGTGCTATCACTAATTTTTCTAGTCTAAAGAAGGTGTTTCACTTGATGCAGAACTAAGCAGAGATTGAAGTCTCATGTGACAACTGGCTTGAGTTTAGCATTATTAAAGTCAATCACACGTTACATTAAATTTAAATAGTTTATCAATTTTTTTATTATGATTGATAGAAATTTGAGTAAAGTCTTATGCTCAAATTGTGGATTTCGATACATCTTCCAAAAGGGGGTTTTGTTTTTCCAGTTCTTGATTAGTAGTTAGTATTGTCCCTAGGTCAGTGTCCAAAGTGTTTAATTAAAAATTAAAATAGTTCAGAAATTGAGGGTCAATCTTAGTCCATGAAAATCTTGATTTAATTTAACAAATATAGTTTAGGGTGAACGTGAGGATCACCAACGAATCAATAAGAAAGCCTAAATGTAATTTCAATTTTCTTTCAGTTAGCTAGAAACTAAAATTAACAATTTGGTACTTGCATTGTGGTTTACAACACTGTAAAAGTGTACTAGAAAACAATGAATGTAACGTGATGGTAAGTGCCAATGTCGTCATTATGTAAAAAAATGAGCTAAAAATTAATGATCTCATTGAATTAATATTCCTTAAAAAAATAAAAAAAATATTTACTAGTAAAAGATTTAGCTCTCTTTCAGCTAATATTTGACGAAAAATATTAGAAGTACACTCTTTAAAATATTTTAGTTAATAATTAAATTTATTAAAAAGTATAAAAATATGAAAAAAAATATTAAATTAAGAATGAAATTCATATAATTTTTAATAAATTTTAATCAAATTTTTATATTTAATAGTATTGTTAATTATCGTATGATTAAAGAGTGAGCTCATAATTCTTTCATTTATATTTGCAATCCTCAACAAGACGAAATTTAAGTAAAGTTACGAAAAATCTAGAATGAAAGAAAGACATAATTGAGTATAATTATAAGACACAATTACATATTTCAATCAAAATTTTGGCGATAAATCATAAAAAAAGTGATTTCAAGGAATCACATAAAACATTTTATACACTAGAACAGCTACACAGGAACAAGATTTATTAAGTAGCAAAGAAGTTATTCTTTAGGCACAAGTAACCATGCAGCTAATTAAATAAGAAAAAGTAGACACAAATGAACAAAGGCCTGCAACCACTATAAATATTTAACAGGCTCAAACATATCATTTTTATCTTTATATTTTTACAAAACTTTTATTGTACTCTCGATTTTTGTTAATTTCAATCCCTAACTTTTTTTTTTATATATAAAAAACAACTGACACTTTTAGTTCCTACTAATGGTGTGATTTGACTAAATAAAAGCTTGTCACGTCAATTTTAATACCACGTTTCAATTTTTTGTTATGTTATATCAGTGAAAGAAACAAAAAGAAGCGTTAGAATTTTAAAGAATTAGAAACTACAAAAAGTTTTTTGAGTAACTAAAATTAAAATCTCACATAAATGTAGACTAATATTTGTTCACCGAGTGATATAACAAGTTAACGATGGCATAAAAAATTAGTAATAGATACTTGCTTTCAACAAATAGTACAACTTATCTTCTTCCTCTCTATTCCTCGTTACACACCAAAAACAAAAGAAAAAGATATTTATTTACTTGTATAAGTGGATAGTTTTGAAATCCAATGACAGAAGTTGGAAGAGGTATTAGATTTTATCTCATAAGAGATATTGGGCGTTTTTATTTGTGAAAAAAATTAAAATACCACAACATGGGATTTTTAGAAAAAAAATATTTACGAGAATATAAATTTTTTTTAAATGACAAAAATAATGAATGGAAATTTTTTATACTTTAAATTTTTTTATAATTTTAAAAAATTATTACTGATAATTTTGTATAATTTTTAATTGTTCCATCTATAAATCTTTAGCTTGCACCAAAAATTGTTATTGACAATTTTTGAGTTTTTACATTTCTATAATCTTTCCAAAATTCCCAAATTTATATATACATATATATATTATTTTTATATACCGAGAAACTAACCACCTTCTCTTGGGGAATATTTACTTGCGCCTTTAATCTAAAGAAAAAGAAATACTCTCACGATGACATTCCAATTCTAACCGTTTGACTGAGCCAAGTTCGCCTTGAATGATTATACATGCTTAATCACTGAATAATAAAAAATCACATATTAAGACAAATTCAAACTGAAACAATCATCTATTTTTATTAAAACTCACCAAAGTCATCTGACAAGTACCATCAATACTCGGAGAAAAATGAAATATTGAACAGTGTTCTTGCTTGCAATTTTTCCATAATGTAGAGCCTAAGTTCCTACTCTCAGCGCACATACACCAACATCAGTTCCTAAAAGAAATGGTATAGAAACAAGAAGATTTATCCATTTCATTCGTCCCCAAGGAAATTCATTCATCTCATTCTGAATTAATTACCTTAGAACATTGCAAGAAACTGCATAAATAACCTGAGTCAAACAGTTTACACCAAAAAGAATTACAAAATCCTAAAAAAATGGAACCAAACATGTTAATTATTTAGCTAAGATGATGAACTGGAAGATCCTTGCTTCCTTCAACTAAAAATGGAATCGGCTTTGTTGGGGCGGGCAACCGACCAATGCTGTCAACTTTATCCATTTGCTTTGGAGGAGGTCTAGCTGCTTTAGGCAACAATCTTCCTTTCTTTTCAAACCACTCAGGCTTCAGGAGTGCCCGCAAGCCCAACTTATTGTAATACACTCTTCTCACAGACCCACCAGCTGCTTCAACTGCTTCCTTAGCCCTAGCAGTGACCCTTGACACCTGTAAACCCACAATGTTAAAACACATTTGACATTTCTGTTTTATGCCGGAAGCATTTATGACCCTAAAACATAACCATCATTATAGCATTTAAAATTGAACAAGACCAATTTGTATCTCTTTCTTATTGGCAAACAAAAGCTTAATATGGAAACAAATCTTAAACGGTGAGTTTGTTTGTTTATCTGAAAGTAAAAGAAAAAATAGCAACGTCCAAGAAAACATAGCATATAATCTTTGAAAGTATATTACCAACTTTATTTATAACAAATTCCAAGTTAGACACACTTCAACCATTTGCATACCCATTGTCAAAACCTGGCTCCCCCAAGATTTAATAGTTTATGCTGCCAATGGATAAAGGAGTGTAAAACTCTAAAGCCAACATCTAAGTAATCATAAACTGTTTAGCAGAAGCAATATTGATGATTAATTATATGACCATGGTGAAATTTATGAAACTAGATAAAGATAAACTTAAAAATGGTAACAAAAAAATTATTTCCAAATTGAAGAATCAACAAGCATGATTATGATAGTCAATTTGTAGCCATCAATCAATTCTACCTCTAGATGAATTGGCCACTTGATCTGCTCTGAACCACGGCCCATCAATCTTACTCCATCTTTCATTTGCTTCCCTAGTGCACCTGCATCCTATGATAATAATAACGATAAGAAGAATAAGAGGAAGTACATGAAGTAGACAATTCCCTTTGAAGTGAAGTAACAGTTCCAAAAACCTTTAGTGTTTTCATTGAGATCAGTTCAGAGGAATCTATCTTCCCAGCATTGATAAGCTTTGCAATTCTTCCCAAACCTATTGGCTGCAGAAAAAGGTATGAATGAAATTTAAGAATACAGACATACAGATAAATAATTGACTGAAAAAGAAAGGAGGGGTTGGAACCAAGCAGAAAGGGTCCAATAATAAGAGCTCAATGTCATGGCTTTGCCATATTAAAAAAGAAAAGTATCTAGACATTAAAGTAATTAAAGAACTAAAATACACAGACAAATTAAAACTAATAGTACATAGAAGTTAATCAACATTAATAAATCAGAGGGATCAAAACAGCCAGAGTGAACTCCAACATCAGCAATATGCCTTAACAGTCACAGACACAGACAAACAATTCAAATACACTAGAAAAAGAATCCTTAAATACAAAAAAGTTTTCAGCATTCACTTAGTGCATACCAAGCTTGGGAATCGACGCATGAAGAAAAAAGATGTACTTACCAACTAAAACCAACCTAGTCAGCCACTCACCAATACATATTCACAGGAGATTTTAGAGTCTTAAAAAGAAAGATCATCTCATGAAAATTATTCCTTGTAATAAAAAATAAAACCTTACTCAACATTGCTTCCTAGTTATATTTCATTTTCTTGCAGTGACATTAAATACAGAAAAAGAAAATAACAAAGACAGGTCAAAAGATTGATCTTACACATACAGATGTTAGGTCAATTTTTCAAGAAGATAACTGCCTCAAATCTCTTAGGAGCATCCATATGATATTCTGAAGTTTCTCCACAATGAAATGGATTATACAAAAAACAATAGCTGAATAAGCCCATGTCTATTGGTAGGTGGCAACTACTTGAAATGAAATAAAGCTAGAACTACAAAGTGAAAGGACATAAAGTATTCAAGATGACAAAAGAAGTAGTAGTGACTCAGACATGAGATGCAACAGATCTAGTTAAAAACTGTATCATTGATGTTGGCAATGGACCAAAAATGTCTCTTAATTTTTCCTCCATAATTCAGAAACTGAAGTATAAACTCTAGTTTACAGGAAAAGAATGGATCTCAAACAAAAAACATGATCTCGAGAAAATACATTTGGTCCATGAATGAATTTTATCAAGTTCAATAATTTCCCTGGACACAGAAAATCTAGGTTGCTACTGTAAGACTCCAAGTTAATACTTGAAATGGTACAATTTTTTTCAAATGCACCAAAAGAAACACTGCACTTTTGACTTTATGAATTAAACAAAAAGATAATATAAATATGAAGAATATACCTGAAAAGTAAGGCTAAATGGGTTCTTGAACCCACGTTTGGGTACTCTTCGACGTAGAGGGGTCTGGCCTCCTTCAAACCCCAATTTGGCACCACTTCTAGCTCTCTGACCCTTGTGACCCCTCCCAGCAGTTTTCCCCTTCCCAGACCCAATACCACGGCCCTTCCTCGTCTTCTGTTTTCTGGGAACCTTATCTCTCAAATCATTCAAGCTCAGAAGACTATAAGCTCTAAAACCTTGAAAATCCAGGAGTGTCTTGGGATTATATGCTCCATGAGCATTGAGAGAGTGAGGGAGCTGCAAGGGATGAAATTGGATAGATGGGTATCTGAGAATGGGTTTGCAGTGATTTGAGCTTCTAATGATTGTCGTCGAGAGAACAGAAAGCCTTCTTCTAAGCATTTTTCTGATACTCTATTCGTTCACTAACAAAAAGGATGTGCCAATTTCAGATGGAAACAGCTTCAAACCTTAGGACAACCAAAATAGAAGAAAAAAGAGTGTTAAAAATCACACTGTGCGAGAAAATACACAACCATTACACTTCTAAATAAAACCAAATCACATTGAACCCAAGCTACCAATCAAAAGAAAGTGTGTACTGTATACCAATTTCGAATCCCAAAAACAGAAATAGAAATACACCCTTAAATTACAACCCACAATCAAATCAATAACCGTCAACAAACAAATACGACACAAGCTAAAAGCTCACATGATCAACATCCACAAAATGTCAGAATACTACAAAAACAGAAGGCATGAAGGGAAAAGGGTCAGCTCACTTTGGCAATAAACCTAACAATACACAGGCATTAAGTATAGCTAAACACTTTCTCCATCCACAACGTCCCCTGCCCCACCAATAACAAAAAACAAAACCAGTGCACTTAATAATCAGGCATTTCAACAAACAGCTGGTGATCAAAACACAAAGCCTCGATCTTGTTTAGCACTAGACCATAACAAAAATACCCATTTTCCCTTTGAGCTAACACATTAAGTAAGTGACCCTTATAGCCACTTTAAGACCCTTGATCGATCTATGTGGAAGAGATGAACCATCTTAGAACCTCAAAACGAAAGGACTATCTCCAAAGGCGTATTACTAGAGACAAGTGCAATAAAACGGTACTACGCTTTTACCTGACCTTGTGAAGAGCGAAGTAAAAGTCTTGAACGAGCTTCAATGGCGGTCGGAAACGGAGGCCCCACGGCGGAGGCTGCGGCCACAATGCTGAGGTTTCTCTTGAGAGAATATGGTGGAAATGAAAATTCGTGAGAAAACGATATGGCCAGAGAAAAACGACGTCGTTACATTCCCCAGTGGTAATTTTTTTTATTTACCAATAGTAAAGGTTACAACAAATGTAACAAATTTTGTAAAATAATTATTTTAGAAAAAATCATTTATTTTTAAATTTTTTATTAAAAATGATATTTCCTCAAAATAAATTAAATTAAATTATATAGGTATAAACTTTTTTTACTATATTTTTTCTTTTTTTAGAGATTTAAGAATTAATAAATGGTGAACCCATGAATTACACAAAATATATTACTAGTAACTAATTTAAATTTATTTCCAATTATTCTATCTTTTTTTTATCCGATATGCTCAATTTTATTATTTATTTATTTTCATATGAAATAACAGTAAGATTGTATTACGGACCCAACATAAATCTTAATCTTACATATAAATTATGATATTACAATTTCAATATGATAAGTTAGCGTTACCAACATTTATAGGAATAATTATTAACATTCTCAATTAAATTACTAATTTATATTTATATTCCTTGTTTTTTATTTTAATAACTAACATAGTAGGAAATTAATTTTTATTTATACTATCATCCTTCATTTATGGTTATGGAATATAATTAATAGTTACATAATTACTAACAAATTATTAATAAAATTATCAACATTATCATATTTTTTATGAATTAATACCAAATTGAGGCAATATATCTTTCTAAAACTAATAAAAGTTGATTTGTGAAACGTAGGAAAAGTATATTAGGGGAAAAACAATTCACATGTAATACGGAAAACTTTAAAGCCCACACAATTCTTCAATTCACCAATTACCTCAACAACAAAACCACATTGTACAAATTCAAACAAATCAATTTACTAAGGGATTGTGAGAAATAAGAGGGAAACACTCCCATAAACTATATACAGAGAAAACACAGAACAAAACACGACTCCTTTACCAAACTCCATTCATACAATGTTGTCCTAAGCCTTGCAGCAAACAAAACGTCCAATCCCTTTTGGAGCAACCCCTTCACCATCCTCCCCAGAAATCTGAACTACCTTTTTGTGCTTCTTTTTGGTCTTATCCTTAGGCACTGTTATGGTCAACACCCCATCACGCATTGATGCTTTAACATCTTCAACCTTTGCATTTTCTGGCAACCTAAAATCCCTCGAAAACGCACCACTTCTTCTTCTCTCCATGCAATGCCACTTGACCCCCTTCTTCTCTTCTTCATTTCTTTCTTCTTCTTCTTCTCTTTTCTCTGTTCTGATGCAGAGCAATCTGTTTTCTTTCACTTCAAGCTTGACATCCTCTTTGGTGATGCCCGGAAGATCGATTTCAAATATGTGAGCATCACGGGTCTCCTTCCAATCCATTTGAGTTTTTGATTCACAACTCAATGAGTCTGAATTTCCAGTGACTAAGGCTACGAAATTATCAAAGGCATCACTCTGGTTCAACAACAGAGGTTCAAACAGAGACATCTTCTTTTCTCTGTTTTGTGAAAATTGGATTGAATGAACGGCTTCAAAGTGAGGATTTTATTTTTAGTATTGGTTTTCTTCTTCGTTGGAGGATTTGGTACGTGATAATGTGTATATATAAGGTATGTGTAGATAGAAGGGAAGAGATTGGAGTAGCAACTTCTTGAAAATTCTAGACTGAGTAGAGAAACCTGTGACTTTATAAAGATGGAAATTTTCTTTAAATCTAATAATTTTCATAGTGTTGTTGCTTTTTCGAGGGTTCGAGCAGTGTGCGTTTGGTGAAGTTGGAGAAATGTCTAGTAGTTACTAGAAATATTGGAAATGTAAGTTTAAAAATCAGTGCTTGTCAAGCAGCTAATTTTGTAGATTACTATCCTAGTGTAGTATTGCTTTTTTTTTTTTTAGTAGATCTTATTAAAGAATAAAACCTTATGTACATTAAAATATATAATATTTAAAAATTACTAGCTTATAGTTTTTAGTTTAAAATTATAATTGTTGCGTATTTTATTTTCTAATTTTACAAAAAAATAGTCCTTAATGTTTTAAATTGTTATAATTATATTTAATTTAATTCTTAATATTATTAAAAATATAATAAAAATTAAAATAAATAAATTTTTATAATATTATAGAAATCAAAGATTAAAATATTTTTTTATAATACTTACAATGTATCCCATTCTTACCACAATATTTTATTTTCCCTCTTGTCCTCTTGTTATATTTTTAAGAATAAGATATTCTATTAAAAAATTTGTAAATTTTTTTTTATTAATGTACAAATAATCAACATGAAGAAGTGAAAAAAAAAGTTACTTGTTCTTATATTTTTGTGAGTATTTATTTTAGTTCCTCTAAAATTTTTCTTTAAATTTTAGTTCTAAAATTTTTAAATTAACACTTCTGGTCTCCCACAAAGTAATTCAACAAAAAAATTAACATCCCACAACTTTAGTTAGTTATGTCATTATTGAAGACCCGTAATATAATTTTTTTATAAAATAATTACAGATTAAAATTAAAACATTAAAATAAAAAAATTATAAGAATACAGAGACTAAAAATATATTTAAATAAAAAATTATAAATTCAAACATTACTTCCAGTATCATTTAAGAAACGTTATAAACTAGTTAGATAAGTTTATTTATAAGTATCTTTATTTTAGCTAAAGTACTTTTATAAATTAATTACATAATTTAAAGTTAACTAAAATAACTTACTCAATACAGTATTAATGTTTTAAAATATTTTGAACTTTAATTCATGTTGAGGTGAAAAATAGTCTTAATTACGTAAGATGGAATGTAAATTTGACTAGAAGAAAATAACTCATGTTGAGAAATCACTAAATCTTCATGTTACTTCAAAACAAACAAGGATTAGTCCCTCGTAAAAATTTTAGCATATTTGAATTTCCATTAACAAAATTTTAAAATTCATGATTTAAATGAAAATTCACTTCTCATTGTTTTTGCTCAAATAATAAGTGAAGACACAAAGTTGGAAGGATTGCATTTCATATAAGGTGAACATGTAAGGATTGTTGGTGATTTTTTCTAAGTCTCTCCTTTAGGGAAGAGAAAAGAGAAGAAAGGAAAAAAACTTAAAAAATTTATACTAGAAATGGTAACTTTTTTGGTTTATTTTTACTATTTTTTTATATTTTTAAAATTATAAAAGAAAAATAGTTTTACAAATAAATCAAATAATTTCTTAAATAATATACTATTAGACTACAAATATCTTTCCATGTTGGAGTAACTATTAGAGTTTTGTTGCATTCTACCCAACTTAAAAAATTTGTCTAATGTAAGAGAAAACATTGATTTAGACTAAAAATCATGATGTTATTTGGGTTCATCAAGAGAGGCCCAGGAAAGTTGTCCATATTATATATCACTAACTTTCATTTTTATTTTTGGGTCAGTGTAATGGACCCTAACTGAACCCATTTTTTTTCTTTTCGGGTTTTGTTGCACCCCACAACAGATAGCTACATCAAAGAAAATTAAGAAAAAGAGATGTTATACCCTGATCGAAAACTAAAAAGAGATAGGAATAAGTTAAGGATTTAAAAATTTTAAAATTAAGAAAAAATTTTAAAATTTATTTAAATTAATGCGTATTATCTTTAATAACATTTGATAAAAACATAGTATATGAAATACTTAATGAAAAAAAATATCAGATGATTGATTAAGAGCGGTAATCTTAAAAATCTTCTAATGCAATACTGAGTATTCAATTTTTTTAACTTGTGTATTAATGTGATCTGATGACTAAACAAAAAACTATTCTCTTATATTTTATTTTATTTTATTGAAAAATGTAAATTCTTTTCGTAAGTTTTGGTATTATCACTGACGACTTTGTTAACTGAACTAATTAGTACCTGGCATGGCAATCGCTGAAGGTTCCTTTTTCAGATATATTTAGAAGCTTAAACTTTAAACAAATCATATATACAAGTTAAACTATTCCTATATTCATTTAATTGTGTCGTTTACATAAGGGAATATAAATTTAATCATGGTGATTCACACGCTGTTCATCTACATTAATTGGTTTGATTATATTTCTTTCACCTCTAATGATTAGACTATTTATTTATATTTTTTGTAAAATATTTTAATATCTTTTTAGATGTCAAGTTTTATATTGATTTGTATATCCATGGAAGAAGCAAGAATGAAGTTATTCTATTTAATACTTTTTATAAATGTTAAATTTTATCAATTTAATAAGTGAATACAAACCATAAATGAAGCTACAACTTGCACCTTGCCCTGTCTTTAAAACCATAAATGTTGCTTATGCTTTAACAAGTAGAAGTGGTCACAGGCACCATGGACCAAAAAACATACTGCTAAATGCACCATAGTCACCTCTATATATTTACATATGCACAAGTAATAATGTTTTAATACGTGTGTCACTAGTATTACTTATATGAAATTCATTTCATGTTTAATAACAATAATTAATATTTTTCTATGAAGTAAAAATAATTAATGATGCAAATTATGTGGTAATTGTTACTTTATGCATTCATAAAGAATCATCTAGAAATGAGGAGAAAAAAAAAGGGAGTAGAAGGTTAGTGATGTTGGAGAAAGAAAAGTGGAAAGGGGAACACAATGGTCCAGTTATTTATTGTATGTATTTTCAATTAAGGCTTAAAATTGTGATGGTGGAGACAATGATGAGACCAAGATCTGCATGTGATCCTATTTTCAAACCAGAAGTAAGTTGGGGCCCCAACAACATCACAGTTATCTTACAAAAATGGTCCTGTAGCAGATAATATTCTACTTCAATTTGTCAGGTTATATCCCTTTATATTTTTATACAATTTCTCTCTTTTTTGAAACATGTTAGCACTTATATTAATTGTGTGGTTCCAAAAGTAAATGTTTAGTCCATAAAATATATAAAAAATCTTGCTTGGTATGAAGTCTATCAAAACGTTATTCTTATTCACT